TGCCTGAGGAGTGGGTTTTCAGTAGCTGGGAGAACGTTGTAGTCTGCCACGGCTTTGTCCTTCTCATAGTCCTTCTTGTATTTTAACTGTGAAGAACACACAACAGTACACTTATTAGGATACACATATTCATGGTGTTACTCTTCATTATTGCCCGTCAATTTTAAATAAATTGTCATCTGGTGTCGATATACGAATGATGCCACAAATTTGACGAGTGTCTAATTTAAGTTTAAATCACAATGATATATTGTTTCAATGCAGTTAGCGTAAATATCGACGCTAGTGTTTGCTATGAGTGATTCATGTTTTAAATGGCTTTCTGATTGTGGGTACAGAACATGTGTGGGCTCATCCTGATGTCTGCGTGACAAAAGACTCTGTTGACTCACACTGGAGATAGAGGTCGACTAAGTGTTGTGTCTGCCTGCTGCCTCGGGTTTTAATAACTCCATGGCCCATTCCCTGAGGGTTCTCAGACTGTGTGTGTGTTTACCTCCATGTCACATTCCCTAAGGGTTCTCAGACTGTGTGTGTGTGTGTTTAACTCCATGTCACATTCCCTGAGAGTTCTCAGACTGTGTGTGTGTTTAACACCATGTCACATTCCCTGAGGGTTTTCAGACTGTGTTTGTGTTTAACTCCATGTCACATTCCCTGAGGGTTCTCAGACTGTGTGTGTTTGTGTGTAACTCCATGTCACATTCCCTGAGGGTTCTCAGTCTGTGTGTGTGTTTAACTCCATGTCACATTCCCTGATGGTTCTCAGTCTGTGTTTGTGTTTAACCCCATGTCACATTCCCTGAGGGTTCTCAGACTGTGTTTGTGTTTAACCCCATGTCACATTCCCTGAGGGTTCTCAGTCTGTGTGTGTGTTTAACTCCATGTCACATTCCCTGAGGGTTTTCAGACTGTGTTTGTGTTTAACCCCATGTCACATTCCCTGAGGGTTCTCAGACTGTGTGTGTGTGTAACTCCATGTCACAGTCCCTGAAGGTTCTCAGACTGTGTGTGTGTTTAACTCCATGTCACATTCCCTGAGGGTTCTCAGTCTGTGTGTGTTTAACTCCATGTCACATTCCCTGAAGGTTCTCAGACTATGTGTGTGTGTGTTTAACTCCATGTCACATTCCCTGAGGGTTCTCAGTCTGTGTGTGTGTGTGTGTTTAACTCCATGTCACATTCCCTGAGGGTTTTCAGATTGCGTGTGTGTAACTCCATGTCACATTCCCTGAGGGTTCTCAGACTGTGTGTGTGTGTGTAACTCCATGTCACATTCCCTGAAGGTTCTCAGACTGTGTGTGTGTGTGTAACTCCATGTCACATTCCCTGAAGGTTCTCAGACTGTGTGTGTGTGTGTAACTCCATGTCACATTCCCTGAGGGTTCTCAGACTGTGTGTGTGTGTAACTCCATGTCACATTCCCTGAAGGTTCTCAGACTGTGTGTCTGTTTAACTCCTTGTCACATTCCCTGAGGGTTTTCAGACTGCGTGTGTGTTTAACTCCTTGTCACATTCCCTGAGGGTTTTCAGATTGCTTGTGTGTAACTCCATGTCACATTCCCTGAGGGTTTTCAGACTGCGTGTGTGTTTAACTCCTTGTCACATTCCCTGAGGGTTTTCAGATTGCTTGTGTGTAACTCCATGTCACATTCCCTGAGGGTTTTCAGACTGCGTGTGTGTTTAACTCATGTCACATTCCCTGAGGGTTTTCAGACTGCGTGTGTGTAACTCCATGTCACATTCCCTGAGGGTTTTCAGACTGCGTGTGTGTGTGTGTGTAACTCCATGTCACATTCCCTGAGGGTTTTCAGACTGCGTGTGTGTTTAACTCATGTCACATTCCCTGAGGGTTTTCAGATTGCTTGTGTGTAACTCCATGTCACATTCCCTGAGGGTTTTCAGACTGCGTGTGTGTAACTCTATGTCACATTCCCTGAGGATTTTCAGACTGTGTGTGTGTGCGTAACTCCATGTCACATTCCCTGAGGGTTTTCAGACTGCGTGTGTGTTTAACTCATGTCACATTCCCTCCGACTCACCGAGCTAGCGGCATGACCAGCCTTCTTGTTTTGTTGATACTCGGGCGTGTCAGTTTGCATAAAATATATCTGGTCTTTGAGGTTCTCGTATGCAGCCGTGTACTTTTTCTGAAATGAGAGAAGACACATGGATTCAATATACTATAGACGTGAAATGTATTTGGATAAAATGAACACAATGTAAATGATGCCGAAAACGATCAATACGATTGCAATGGCCGTCTTACATCACTAAGGTTGTCCATGGCCATCCTGCCAACGGCCACGTCAATGTAGGGTGTCTCACACCACTGGCCTTTGACATTCTTATTGTAATGTTCACGATACTTGAGCTGTTGAGAGAAAACAAGTGAAAGTCAGACGATGGCGACACTTACAAAGACAGAAAATAGCTACCGGCACACAGACAGCAAATAGAGTGGATGATCACACTGTAGAGGATTCTCTATAGATGGATGATGACACCGTAGAGGCCTCCGTATAGACGGATGATGACATTGTAGAGGCCTCGGTATAGACGGATGATGACATTGTAGAGGCCTCTCTATAGGTGGATGATCACACTGTAGAGGCTTCTCTATAGATGGATGATGACACCGTAGAGGCCTCTGTATAGACGGATGATCACATTGTAGAGGCCTCTGAACTGATGGATGATGACATTGTAGAGGCTTCTCTACAGTGTCATCTTCCATCTATAGAGACCTCTGTATAGATGGATGATGACATTGTAGAGGCCTCTGAACTGATGGATGATGACATTGTAGAGGCCTCTGTATAGATGGATGATGACACCGTAGAGGCCTCTGTATAGATGGATGATGACATTGTAGAGACCTCTGTATAGATGGATGATGACATTGTAGAGATCTCTGTATAGATGGATGATGACATTGTAGAGACCTCTGTATAGACGGATGATGACATTGTAGAGGCCTCTGTATAGATGGATGATGACACCGTAGAGGCCTCTGTATAGATGGATGATGACATTGTAGAGGCCTCTGTATAGATGGATGATGACACCGTAGAGGCCTCTGTATAGATGGATGATGACATTGTAGAGGCCTCTGTATAGATGGATGATGACACCGTAGAGGCCTCTGTATAGATGGATGATGACATTGTAGAGACCTCTGTATAGATGGATGATGACATTGTAGAGATCTCTGTATAGATGGATGATGACATTGTAGAGACCTCTGTATAGACGGATGATGACATTGTAGAGGCCTCTGTATAGATGGATGATGACACCGTAGAGGCCTCTGTATAGATGGATGATGACATTGTAGAGGCCTCTGTATAGATGGATGATGACACCGTAGAGGCCTCTGTATAGATGGATGATGACATTGTAGAGACCTCTGTATAGATGGATGATGACATTGTAGAGACCTCTGTGACATTTAGGGTGGGAGCATGACAGTGGTGGACAGTGATGAGGGTTTCCATAACCTCAGGCTATTGTCATTTCTCCAGTCCTGTTTGCCAGAATAGTGATACTGCTTTCCAATTATACAACAGAGCAGGTGGCATGATATCCCTCTCCGTCTCCCAGCGACAGGAAAACACGTCTGGGGACGGCAGAGCTCGGGGGAAGGTCAGGGGCTTTGTGATAGCGCTCACTCGTCCTTACTGTCAGGACTGTAGCTCACGGCCACAACACGGATTTCCTCCAATTTCTAAATTCTAACATAGTCAAACATGACGTGTGTGTGAGGGCTGGATGCAATGGGTGCATGACTAATTGTTATTGAATAACTGCTGGGTTGTCACAACACTTACGTCACTAAGCTGTTCAAAATTCTTCTTGGCCAGCTCCATATCTGGAGGGACAGCCAGTGAGGTGTATTTTGCTGTCCGCTCAACATGACCCTTCTTGTATAGAATCTGTACAGTAGTAGAAAGAGAGTGGTGAAAAATGGTTTCATTAGAGGCAGGGTAAAGTGAGCCTTTACACTAATACACCACATAATTTTTTTACAGCACTTTTATTGTCTAATTATGTGGATGTTTCTAGGATATAGTGGCAAGACTCACATCACTTAGGGCCTCTTGTGCCTTAGCAACGCGACGAAGCTCCGGAGAGTCGCTGTAGGGGTAGAACCTTGTCTTGTCCTCATCCCAGTCCTCCGTGTATCGTTTCTGGTCACACGGAAAAAAGAAAGTTAGATTGGTGAAGCAACATTCTCATACAATGTTATCATACAATATTCTCATACAATATTCTCATACAATATTCTCATACAGTATTCTCACACAATATTCTCACACAATGCTATTCTTCAGCCGGTGACAAGTTTAACACAGTGTAACAGCCCTGAAGACTGACTATAATTTGGGATTCGATTACCATGCTGTAATTGGCGGCGTTCTTCACAGCTAAGACAAGCTCAGGAGCATCAGGCGGGAGCAGATACTTGTCCTTGGTCTCATCCCACTTGGCCCTGTAGAGAACCTTGCTGATCAGCTCTGAGACGTGCTTGACATGAGCCACCTCTCTGGCCTCCCCGTCATAAAGACTGGTACACCTGACCTTATTGCCCTCCATGCGGTACTTCACCTAGCAGGATTAAAGAGTTGTGTCAGTATGACAAACATTTAAAGTAGTTATACTATTTATTTTGTCCATCTGAAAACTGTAGATGAGTTTAAAGGCTTCTGTACCTCAGAAAGCTGCTCCTGGGCCTTTTTTATTCTAATCATCTCTGGGGTGTCAGCTGAGATGGCGTAGGGTTGCCCCTTACCCTGGTCATAGGCTTGACGGTACTTGTTCTGTTATAGACACGCAGGAAAAGAATAGCGTTGGAACTTCAGTGAGCAGGACCTCAGGACTAAAACGTAATTGGTCTGAGTTGTCATTGTTAATCAATTTAAGGAAACATAAGGTTATTTTTATTTTATTTTACCAGGTAGGCCGATTAAGAACACATTTTCATAAGCAACGGCGACCTGGGGAGAAGCTGGGGATTGAACCCAGGACATCATAGATACAAAGCACTCTACCACTGAGTTACCAACTCCTCCATGCCTTCTACCACTGAGCTACACCAACTCCTACATGCACTCTACCACTGAGTTACACCAACTCCTACATGCATTCTACCACTGAGCTACACCAACTCCTACATGCACTCTACCACTGAGCTACACCAACTCCTACATGCACTCTACCACTGAGCTACACCAACTCCTACATGCACTCTACCACTGAGCTACACCAACTCCTACATGCACTCTACCACTGAGCTACACCAACTCCTACAAGCACCCTACCACTGAGCTACACCAACTCCTACATGCACTCTACCACTGAGCTACACCAACTCCTACATGCACTCTACTACTGAGCTACACCAACTCCTCCATGCACTCTACCACTGAGCTACACCAACTCCTACATGCACCCTACCACTGAGCTACACCAACTCCTACATGCACTCTACTACTGAGCTACACCAACTCCTCCATGCACCCTACCACTGAGCTACACCAACTCCTACATGCACTCTACTACTGAGCTACACCAACTCCTACATGCACTCTACCACTGAGCTACACCAACTCCTACATGCACTCTACCACTGAGCTACACCAACTCCTACATGCACTCTACCACTGAGTTACCAACTCCTCCATGCCTTCTACCACTGAGCTACACCAACTCCTACATGCACTCTACCACTGAGCTACACCAACTCCTACATGCACTCTACCACTGAGCTACACCAACTCCTACATGCACTCTACCACTGAGCTACACCAACTCCTACATGCACTCTACCACTGAGCTACACCAACTCCTACAAGCACCCTACCACTGAGCTACACCAACTCCTACATGCACCCTACCACTGAGCTACACCAACTCCTACATGCACTCTACTACTGAGCTACACCAACTCCTACATGCACTCTACCACTGAGCTACACCAACTCCTCCATGCACTCTACCACTGAGCTACACCAACTCCTACAAGCACCCTACCACTGAGCTACACCAACTCCTACATGCACCCTACCACTGAGCTACACCAACTCCTACATGCACTCTACTACTGAGCTACACCAACTCCTACATGCACTCTAACACTGAGCTACATCAACTAAGCTACAATAAACTGTTTTCTGCGACATGCCATAATGAACAACACTTAAAAATGGTAAAGGTAAACAAAAAAAATGGTCCTGCTTACGTGGGAGAACAAGTCCATCATTTTCTGGCTGTGAGCCAGGTAAGGAGTCATGAACTTGGAGGTGTCCACCTTAGCCCTCTTCCTGACTCTCCTGACAGGTGTACCCTGCCGGGGAACAAAACATTGGTAAATGTCTGGCAAACACTACCACTCCTGTTCTTCATGGCAGGAGAACAGGCCAGAGGTATGGATCAACCAATAATTTACAGAACACTGACATCAATGGGATGGTAAGACAGTAGTCACATTTTCTTAGCTCCAATATAAACAAGGAAGCTCAAAACTAGGCTGAAGCAATGATACTTAAATGCTATTAATTTCATTTCAAGTAAAATGTGTATGAATAGATACACGATTGCTTAGATATGCTGTGAATGTAATAGCATAAATGTCATAGAACAAAAATAGTATTAGAAAAGGAAAACTTGTAAGTAAAAGCAACACTGGTTTAGGCTTGTTCCTGCTACTCTGCGACAAAGTTACTTACGTGTAGGAATGTGTCACAATTGCTACTGAAAAACAGATTACAATAAGCTTCTAATTCTGTGTTTTAGTATAATATCATGGTAATTACAGGTAGTGGTTTTATAATTGAACATGGCATGAAGACTTTGGAATGTTACAGAGAAAGGTGTTTGTTAGTTACCGAAGGGGCAGAAGATCAGACAGATTGCTAGAGATGCAAAAAAGAACAAACTGACTAAACAAAGACTTAAGACAAGAGAATGACAAACAGGAAAATAATGAGCCAAGTGGAAGAAGCACTGTTTAAGCTAAAAGACATAAGACTATTGACCTCATGCATCAAGCATCATTTAGCAGCATCTACCTATATGAGGGCTATATCATATATTTGTTCTATCCCCTAGTCTTGGGGCCAACTGAGAACAATTTACATAAAGCCTTGAGTACTCAAACCAACAGCTTTTCGTTTTGGAACTCACTTTTAGAATTATCAGGAATATCTTATCGACTTGAGTAAATCGTGAATTGTTAAACGAAAGTTTGTTTAATAACCCACGGATGAAACACAGTTTTTAAGTAGTATCATATCATTGTCTTTATCAATTGGAATAACCCCCATACTGTAACATGCAAGCACAGGCAAATATTGATCAGCTGCTTGTGCTATTTATTTCAGCGCTGCTCTCTAACTGATGCTTTACCTCTTCTGCCACGTGACGTGAGGTCTGGTGAGAGGTGGTTGAAGACACTGTTTCCTCATAATACTATGAATATAGGAGCGGCTTGCTTATTTCAATACATTACCATTACAAGTAAAAGGAAAAAGTCACACATTTATTGAACTGAGTTCCCCCCCAGCTCTGGTACCATCAGTTGGCTTTTTACACGACAACGATAAGATTATGATCATATTATAATATGTATATAATATATTATAATATGTAACAACATTAAATAGCTGTAATGTTAATATATTTATATATTTTTGGTTCTTATCTATCGCTACATTATATCTAGAGTAATGAAAGCAGAGCTTTTTAATTATGTTATTTATTTTGTATGAACTTTTACACATATATTTAAAAATAATGCTTGTAATAGGTATGTCCAGTATTATGCTTTCAGAATAAAACTTTAAAGTTAATCTAAAGTCTCTGACAATTACAATAATGATATCATAATTTCATTCACTATAGCTAATGTACTAAAAGGTTCCAATTACCCCAGATTACCCATTGACTGTGTCCATGTCGAGCCGGAAATATGCTTAAGAGTTTAATACTCAAGAGTTTAATGAAGCCAGTATTCCAGGGGAATAGAGGAGGAGAAGAGTATAATAGCCCAGAAGGTCTGACTGACAGAACTCACTGACTGACAATACCTAACTATAATATAAGCTTTAATCACTAGTGGTTATATTAATACATGTCTTTATTATAATATCTAATTTAATCCCTAGTGGTTATATTAATACATGTCCTTATTATAATATATAATGTAATCCCTAGTGGTTATATCAATACATGTCCTTATTATAATATATAATTTAATCCCTAGTGGTTATATCAATACATGTCCTTATTATAATATATAATTTAATCCCTAGTGGTTATATCAATACATGTCCTTATTATAATATCTAATTTAATCCCTAGTGGTTATATCAATATATGTCCTTATTATAATATCAAACTTAATCCCTAGTGGTTATATCAATACATGTCCTTATTATAATATCAAATTTAATCCCTAGTGGTTATATCAATACATGTCCTTATTATAATATATAATTTAATCCCTAGTGGTTATATCAATACATGTCTTTATTATAATATATAATTTAATCCCTAGTGGTTATATCAATACATGTCCTTATTATAATATCTAATTTAATCCCTAGTGGTTATATCAATACATGTCCTTATTATAATATCTAATTTAATCCCTAGTGGTTATATCAATACATGTCCTTATTATAATATCTAATTTAATCCCTAGTGGTTATATCAATATATGTCCTTATTATAATATCAAATTTAATCCCTAGTGGTTATATCAATACATGTCCTTATTATAATATCAAATTTAATCCCTAGTGGTTATATCAATACATGTCCTTATTATAATATATAATTTAATCCCTAGTGGTTATATCAATACATGTCTTTATTATAATATATAATTTAATCCCTAGTGGTTATATCAATACATGTCCTTATTATAATATCTAATGTAATCCCTAGTGGTTATATTAATACATGTCCTTTATTATAATATCTAATTTAATCCCCAGTGGTTATATTAATACATGTCCTTATTATAATATCTAATGTAATCCCTAGTGGTTATATCAATACATGTCATTATAATATATAATTTAATCCCTAGTGGTTATATCAATACATGTCTTTATTATAATATATAATTTAATCCCTAGTGGTTATATCAATATATGTCCTCATTATAATATATCATTTAATCCCTAGTGGTTTTATCAATACATGTCATTATAATATATAATTTAATCCCTAGTGGGTATATCACAACATGTCCTTACTACTTAAATGCAAAACATATTTGATTAGCCATCTGATTAACCATCTGATTAACCATGTGATTAACCATCCGATTAACCATTTGACCAGACTCTTCAATTTACATTTTCTTATGTTTTTTTAATAAAAAGAATTTGTGTCTTAAATGTTTAAACTGAAAAAGTGTAATTAATGTTCGGAATGGTAATGTGTACTGTACTGAGAGACCAGAGCTGGGGAAAACACCTCAAACATATTAAACACTAGAAAGAGGCTGTTTTCTGACTCTACAAAACTGCAAGAGAATCCGACAGGAAAAAACCCCACCCACCTTACAAACGTGTTTTACTAATTGAAATACACAATGAATGACTGAAAACATTTAGATCTGCTATCCCAGATCTGTTTGTCTGCAGAAGTAAACATCTGACAAGTAAACATTCTGCTACTCTAGAGCCTAGATCTGCCTCTCATGTACATTAATCTGAAAGGTGTCTCTATACGTATCCACTTCCTAATCACAATCTATGAGAGAGACATTAACAGACCCTATGCCAACTGAGACAAGGTTACAGGAAATACAGGGTTACAGGAGATACAGGGTTCCAGGAGATACAGGGTTCCAGGAGATTCAGGGTTCCAGGAGATACAGTTGTGGTATTTACAGCATACAGAATAACTCTTCTCACTATGCGTCTCAGAGGAATCTATACCTGCCAGTCCTCCATAGATGTCTACTGCCAAATGTAATGTATATATTTTTTTCAAGCTCATCTTTCTTTCAAGCTCATCTTAGATCAGTAGGAATTAGTCATCTATTACTTCCTGT